CCGTGGCGTCACAGCTCACAGCAACCTCCAGCTCTTGGGCTTAGGCGATTCTCTTGCCTCAGCCTCCTGAGTAGCTGGGACTACAGGTGCCCACCAAAACCCCCAGCTATATTTTTGTTGCTGTTTGGCCAGGGCCGGGTTCAAACCCGCCACCTTCGGTATATGGGGCTGGTGCCCTACTCACTAAGCCACAGGCGCCGCCCTTCATGGATTATACTTCACATCATAATCTACCCCCCTCTCTCCGTCCTAAACTGCCCTAACCTCTCTGGGTTCAAATCCAAGGGTCACATTTTAGTCTCTGTCCTCTCATTCTCAGCAGTTTCTTATTTCACCAACACTCCTCTGGTCCTCTTCCCTCCCAGCTCTCTGGGACATCCCTAAGCTCTCCCTCTCTGTTGCTGGTCCAGGGTCCTCTGCTTCCTCCTCCCTTGACCCACACTCCTCTTGGACAGTCTTGTCCACTTCTGGTACTCCAAACCCTGTCAACACCCACCAAACTATCTCCAGCCTGGGGCTTCTTCCAGCTCCAGACCTGGGCCGGCTGCCCCTCTAGGTCTCGGCACCGGGGTCTCACGCAACACAGCCACACTGGACCACCCCAGACCCCCAAATTTGCTCTTTCCACATCCCACCACTTTTGTCTGTCGTGCTGAGTAATCTCTTAATCCCATCATATGATCCTTCAGCAAATCCTGATAGATCCAGTTTCAAAAATACCTGGAACTTGACCACTTCTTTCCCTCTCAATGGCCAGTCGGACCCATCACCCCTCACCTGAACCAACTCCCCACGCCTGGCCTGGGCCGTTTCCCACCTCCGCATCCCGGCCTCCCTGAAGCAGCCACCAGAGGGCGTCTATGAGCACCTGAGCCAGGGCCAGCCCCAAGTTCTCCCGCGGGCCCAACCAAGCCCAGCCCAAGCTGCTCTGTCCTGTCCTCATCCCTCTTCCTTCTCTCCCTTTCGCTCACCCTGCTCTAGCCACACTCTACACTGTGACTCCAACATGCCAAGTACAGTACTGCCCCCAGAGCCTTTGCATAGGCTGTGTCCCATTTATCCTTATAGCTCTCTCTCGCTTCCCTCCTTCAGTTCTCTGCTCAGATGTCACCTACTCAGTGAGGCCTTCCCTTTGTCGACGCCATCTCCTACTCCTGCCTCCCTTCCTGGTTCGTTTCTTCTGACTACTATACTTATTTGTCTCTCTCCACAAGGGCAAAGATTTTTTTTTTTTTTTTTTGAGACAGAGCCTCAAGCTGTCATCCTGGATAGAGTGATGTAGCATCACAGCTCACAGCAACCTCCAACTCCTGGGCTCCAGCGATTTTCCTGCATCCGCCTCCCAAGTAGCTGGGCCTATAGGCGCCGGCCACAATGCCTGGCTATTTTGGGGTGGCTGCTGTCATTGTTTGGCGGGCGCGAGCTGGATTCAAACCCGCTAGCTAAGGTGTATGTGGCTGGCACCTTAGCCGCTTGAGCCACAGGCGCCGAGCCAAGGACAAAGATTTTTCACTTTTTTGTCTCTCTGCTTTATATCTAGTACCAAAACAGGGCCTTGCACACAGTGAGCATTTACTGAATACTTGCTGAATTAAGAATTTTATGTGTCGGCTCGGCGCCTATAGCTCAACCGGCTAAGGCGCCAGCCACGTACACCTAAGGTGGCGGGTTCGAATCCCCAGCCCGGACCCGCCAAACAAC